GTTAAACAACACACATCTGGGTAACCCATGAGTCAAAGAAAAAAATCACAGTAAAAATTATAAATATATTTTGACTAGAGGATAATAGATCAAAGTCTGCTAAATGCATTTAAAGTAGTGCATAAAGAGAAATTTATACCTCTGAGTACACCTGTTAGGAAAGAATAGTTGAAAATCAATGACCTAAGTTTCCATCTCAAGAAGCCAGAAAAAGAACAGCAAATTAAATCCAAAGAAAGTAGAGGGAAATAATAAAGAGCAGAAATCATGACAGACACCAAATGTACCATGGAGACAATCAACAAAGCTAAAAGCCCGTCCTTGGAAAAGATTAATAAAGTTGACAAACCCTTAGCAAGAATAATCAGTAAAAAAATAACAATATCAGAAATTAAAAAATGAGATATAACTACACACCCTACGAGACACTAAAAAAATACCAAGACAATATTACAAATAACTGTAGGTCAATATTTTACAATTTAAGATGAAATGGACAAATCTTTGAAAAACCTAACTTATTAAAACTGACAAAAGAAACACATTTAAAAAATGTGACCAGTCTTGTATCTGTTAGAGAAACTGAATATGTAATAGAAAGCCTCCCAGGGTCAGACGGCCTCACTGGCGAAGTCGCGTGCGCACAGCGTTATCTACGGCGTTTGTCACTGAATGTCCCCGCACAGGGTTTACAGGGGTTGCCCTAGGTGTGGCTGTGCGTGTGTGTGACTCACCGCTGCCCTCTGGCACTGCCACTTTGCTCCTGCCCAAGGGCCGCAGGCAGTACGGCCCTTCTCCCACTAGGGTGGTCCCAGCAGAGAGACTACAAGAAAATGCCCAAAAGCTCTGATTCAGGCGGCCACCTCATTTGCCCCACTATTAACACCATCACCTAAGCAACGTCTCCAACCTCCTCGCTTGCACTCGCACCTGCAGGTGTCTGCCCCGAAACGTCCTCCCTTTGAGGTCACCACTGTCGGCCCTTTCGGAGCTGGTCCCACCCATGGAAAGAGCTCAGGCAGGTGTGAGGGTGGCAACGGGAGTCGCCAGTGATGACTTGCCTCAGAGGGGCTGGCCCTGGGTCCGTTACATCCCAGAACACATTTTGCTTCCGAAGAACTTTACTTTCCATGGTTTTTTTTTTCCCCTCACCCAATAACAACAACAGAAAAATGGGCTCAGGGTCTGAATAGACATTTCCCCAAAGAACATGTAAAAATGGCCAATAAGAACATAAAAGATAATCAATGTCATTAACCGTGAGGGAAATGAAAACCAAAACCACCATGAAGATACTGCAAGATACACTGGCATAGCTATAACCTAAGGCTAATAATAGTGTTGATGAGGATGTGCAGAAACAGGAACTCCCATACACTGCTGGTGGGGATGTAAAATGGGGTGGTCTCTTTGAAAAACCATAAACAGTTCCCCAAAAGTATAAACACACAGTTACCATATTACCCAGCAATTCTACTCTGGAGAAAGGCCCAAGAAAAATTAAAATATACATGTATATGCCCATGTTCAAGAATGTTCACAGGTGCTTTTATTCATAATAGCCAAAACTAAAGGGAAAAAACCCTAAAAACTAAATGTGTATCAACAGGAAGATGGATAAATTGTGGCATATGCTTGAATGAAAGTTACACAGCAGTAAAAATAAAGGAACAAAAGATGTATGGAACAACATGGATGACTGTTGCAAAAGTTATACTGAGCTAATAAGCACAATCCAAAAGAGTATATATTATGTGATTTCAAATATTTAAATTTCAAGAGGAGGGAGAACTAATTGCCAGTAAGAGAAATAGGAATAATAGTTACCTCCGAGCAGGAGTGGAAGGATTGATATTGACAGGAAGTAGGTTAAGAAAAACTTTCTAGAGGTTCTGGAAATATTCTAATTTTATTTGTGTGGTAGTTGCATATATACAGTGATGCCCATATATATGTTACTTGTATTAAAGCTGTGACAAATAAAAAATACATATGTATATAGAATGTATTAAGTTGTATCCTTAAGATTTTTTACTATATGTACCTGAATGAATGTGTTTTATATCTCCATTATTTTACATAATGCAGGAAATTACTCTGTGTACAATATTGTACCAAATATCTTTAAAATGGTATATATGTGTGAGCAGAGACAAACAGATGAGAATGAAATGTACTCAAATTTCACAGTGGAGAGGTCATGAGCTTGGGCTTTGGGGTCAGAATGGCATATTCAAATCCAGATTTTGTCACGTAATAGCTGTATGACTTCTCAAAGCTCCTGTTTCTTCATCAGTAAAACACAGAAAATAATACACCTAACTTGGATTGATGTGATGATTAACAGAAACAATACACATAAAATACTTGGTGCATTGTAAATATTAAAGAACTGTTTTATATCTGCCCCCTGCCCCCACATGATAGAATTACAGATGGTTTTGTTTACTGCTTTAGACCTTACTCATGATTGGTTAGGTTTTTTTCCCGGATGGTGGAGAACTCTGAATTCCAACCTACAGAGCTGGGAAGTTCTCCCACAGGCAGCGATGTGCTGGGTGGCCTTGGGAGGGGCAGCTCCGGCCAGGAGAGGCAGGGCAGCCTTGGGGGAGGGGGCCTACGGCCATCACGTTAAGCCCCACAATAGCGGGGGAAATTTAGAATTGTCATTATCCCCATTCTGGGTTTGTGTTTTTTTTTTTTCATATTTAGATAATTTCCTTTTGAATTTCATGGCACCCAGTGCACAGTGCAGACACCTAACACGACCGGTGCCCCTACTTTTTCCCCCACCAGACTATTTCCTTAATGTTACTTTACAATAAATCTGAGAAAACCTAGCAATAAGTCTTCAGCATTCGAATGCTTTCTAATGTGCTTTGGGAATAGCTTCAGTCTTTCTGCAGGGCTTGAAAGATCAAAGTTACTGAAGAGGTCTGCTGGGGGTGGGTGTGTATTTAACCCACATCCTAATCTGAACGTGGTTAAGAACCTAGCTTTCAGAGTTGAACTAGAAATCAATACCAAGCAGTGGGAAAGACAAAACTGGGCCTACAGTACTACCAGATAACAAATGAAATCTATGAAGGATCTTTCTTAGAAATAAAATTAAAAGTTCCAATTCCATCAGAGTCACAGAATGTAGAAACTGCAGGGTAATAAAAGTATATAAGATATACCAAAGGGTAAAAATGATAGGAAAACACAGTAGACCGTGACATATCTCTAATTACTACTCACTTTCAGGCTAATAGTAAAAATTAGTCTTCAGAGAGTTGATAACATCAGCCTGTCTCAGCTGGGTTAGTAACCAAGATCTGTGGCCAAGCAAATACTTCTAATAAAATTGATTTTCTTTTTTGGCAACCAATAGGCCAGTCAATAATAATTTTGTTTAAGAAAGACTGAGTCATGAGAGAGATGAACCTTTACTTCCATTTATTATGTTTGTATTGTCTATATTTTAAAGAGTTTTCAATAATAAAACCAAAGAAGAAATTACATGGGGAAAGCTATTCTAAGAGTTAATTTCCAAAAGCCTTCTGACTTGAAAGCACGTTAGCAGCCCAAGCTGACAAAGCCCGAGTTCCCCACTGAAACTGGATCACAGGAGTTTGGACTGTCGACGACAAAGGAAAATGGCGGGTGGGTCAGTATGAAGTGGTCAGGTGAATACAAAGAGGATGAGGAAAACACTGGCCTAACTGGTCCATCCTAAAAACCGACATGGAATGTTCACTTTGCATGAAAGCTGATGTTCAGTAAAGAGTGTCTGATAAAGCTACAAAAGGCAGTTTTTGGATTGTCTGCCTTATTATCACCCAAACAAGTAGCATGCAGAAAACCCACAGGCAAAAACCTCAGGCTATGCCTGACTTGGGGACATTTCCCTCCAATCCACTCTGAAGAAAACCAAACACTAAGTCAAAACGATATAAGCGCCCCTGTGCTCACTGCAGCGCTGTTTACAATAACTAAGATATGGGGCGACCCAAGTGCCCATCAACAGATGACTGAATAAATGTTACTAAGCCATAAAAAAGAATAAGCTCTTGCCATTTGCAACAATATGGAGGGACCTAGAGGGTATCATGCTAAGTGAAAGACCTCAGAGCAAAATACCATATAATTTCACTTATAAGTAGAATCTACAGAACAAAATAAACAAATAAAGAAAACAGAAACAGTTCATAGATACAGTGAACAAACTGAAGGCTGCCAGATGGGAGGGAGGCAGGGGCGATGGGTGATAAAGGTGAAGGGATTAAGAAGTACAGATTGGCAGTTACAAAATAGTTATGAGAATATAAAATACAGCATAAAGAAAAGAGTCAATAATATTATAATAACTATGTATTGTGCTACTTTATAAATCATATAGTCACTTTATAAATTATAGTTGTCTAACTGCTATGCTTGCATACCTGAAACAAACATAAAATAATATTGAATATCAACTCAAATTAAAAATTAAAAAAAAAAAATACTCCCTAACAATCCAAACAAAATAAAAGACACCAGTAGTTTGTTTCCTTTTTTTTAAAAGAAAACTTAGTGATGGTGGTAGTGGTGGTTGGGGGAAACAAGGGTTAGAAAGATGACTTCAAAGTTTACACAGGAAAAAAGTAAACAAAAATAATAGGAAAAATTCTGATCAAGTAGGGAAGGAATCTATCTTAAAAGATAATAAAACATGTTTTGAAGCTATGATACTTAAAAAAGTACAGCAGAGCTACATGAACAGAAAAACAGCGTGATGGTGGCATAGAAGACCAGCCCAGGAGAACACTGCAGAGATATAAGTAGTGACTGCTTGCTGGGCACAAGGCTTCCTTTAGGGTTGATGAAGATGTTGTGGAACAAGACAGTGATGGCCGTATAACACTGTTAAATGTACTAAAGCCACTGAATTGAACATTCTACAATAGTTAATGGTGAATTTTATGTTACCTGGATTTGACCTCAATTCTTTAAACATGCTCCCTCTTTGTCATTCTTACCTGAGAGTTAATATCAGCTCTATATTGTAGCAAGACTGTGACTAGTTCCTTATGTCCTCGATCACATGCCCAATGGAGTAGAGCTCTGCCCTAACACACACAAAAAGAGAAATACACTTGTTATTACGTGCGTGGGGCCACGTAAAAGATGTAACATTTTAAGAAAGACAAAATAATTTGTAAAACTGGGTTAGTTGTTCTAGGAATGACTGAAATAAAATGCTCCATGGGAAAAGAAGCAAACGTTTAGAAGGCAACCGGAGATCCTGAGTCCCACTTCTGGAATCCGTTGTGTTCTGGTGCCATGACATGTGTCAGCCAGCCTGATCGGCTTCCTCGCCCGCAGAGAGGAAAGAAGGGTGGCACTAACGCTAAGTGCCAACAGTATTTGTTAAATGAATGAGCTGCAAGATGGTGTGTTGTACATTTGAAAATGCTATTTTATAAACATAAATGATAGTTTTCTTAAATTTCATGGTCACTACTTCTGGTGAAAGAAATCTGACGGATAAAAAAATGAGTACTTAAATGTAAGAAGAAAGCAATCTAGATTTACTCAAGCTTATTCCTTAAAATGGAAGAAAATTTAACCAGTTTGAAAGTAAGCGCTTTCCCTTAATATCCCAAATTGACACTTTTAAATATCTCAAAAACACTAGAATAGTCTATTTGGTGTCTATCTCCAAATGCTGACTACGAAAGCCACTTGTAAAAGAAGAGATGATTAGCTGTTAGGAGAGAAAGTACTAAACATGAAACATCACTTTGCTGTCTACCAAAGACTCGGAGTTACTACCAATGTGTTAATTCTATTCTGCACCATCAGAAAATCTTGGTTTAGTTCATGAAAGAAGCTTCTCGGGCCAAGGGATAAACAAAACCCCCGAAGCTAAGGGCTTCTCTGAAGACATGAGTGATGGGCGGCTTAACACTGCTTTTTGGGGGTGGTAGTGATGTTGTCATTTTTAAGAACTGGAATGTTTTTCCACATTAAGTTGAAGTCCCTGCTTTATGTCATTTTAGAAAAGATTTAAGTAGGACAAAGTGGGACAAAGACAGTTTTAAAAGGAAAAAGCACTTTTCAAGAAAGCTTTTCTAAACCCACTTATACTCTTTATCTTCAGACTCTTTTCAAGCACCTATTAATTCAACTAATTAGACAAGGGCCTATTCTTGAAAAAACAAACAAACAAACAAAAAAGCAAAGACAAGTTCTTCCCTACTAATTGTTCTTTTCTTGTCTTCACTCTACTTATTTTTATTTACTTGTGAACATGTTTTCCAATAGGCTTACACAAAATCCAAATGGGAAGGGAAACAGAAAATTAAAATGAGCAAATCATTCAAAATTTCCTGTAGTAACAAAACTATTTTGGTCAGAGCCCACTAAAATACTTTTAAAATGGATACAATTCTAAAGGCCAAGTAAAAAAATGTATTGTCAAGTGTCCTGCGTTAAAATTTCAGTAAGCCTAGTGACCTGCTGTTACCAGGGTACTAATTTCAAAACTCTCCATATGAATAATTAGATATTCTATAAGACTCTCAGAATGAATACCAATATATAAAATATTCTATAGTTCAATGTAACTGTTTCACAGCTTTTGCATTAAAAGAATCAAATAAAACTTCAAAGTCTCTATCATTTTTACTTCTAACTTTAAGTGTACATTTTAAGGCTATTAAGTTAAACTATTAACAAGAATTACTACATAAAATGATGTGTGATACACTCCACAGGGCACCTACTAGAACGACCTAATAGTTAAGTAAGAAAACATAATATTAATATATCTAGTACTTTTACCACAAGATGTATAGATAATTTCTGCTCCACCAGGTTCCTGTTTCTCCTTAGAATTAACCCAATAGGGTTACATCGATTAATACTAAATTATAAATCCTCAGCTGTTTCGATGAGAAAGCAGACAAGCAACACATTTTACTGTTAATGGGAGTTATATTTTAAATTTCCCATATGTGGTGCCAAAACTTTACTTTATGGGAAACACCTATGACTGGACCTCAGTAGCGATCTTCACTTTGGATATATTTTCCAGAAGGGTGGCACCTGTATAGCAATGTTTTAAGGAGGATGATGTGCTCGCAGACACTTACACTGTGCTTTTTAACACGTTGCTTGACCTGCAATGTAATTAATTTTTGTAACACATTATTTTAATGGTACACTAATTAACCTTGAATTAGAATGAATTCTCTGACAATGACTTTCTGTAGAAGTGCTGAAGATACCTACATTAAGACTACCTAATGATTAGTGTTTTTATGCAACATTAAAGAAGCTCAAAAACAAGAAAAGGATTAAACATATTTGTAGAAAAGCACAGATAACATAAAAATAAATCAGGCTTTGGAAGTTTTTCCTTCAAAATGTTTTGTATTTCAATGAACAAAGGCCTGCACCACCAGGTGTCTGAATGGGATGACACTTCTTTAAATTATTAAGTTCCCATAAACATGCTTTAATATAAAACTATCAGTTCAAGTAATAACATAACCAATAACTTGCAGAGATACTATCCTCATAGCCATTTAAGACCAAATCAGGAACTAAACATCTGTGGTTCCTTTCCTTTTTCTCAAGAAAAACCACGAGTTAGGTACACATTAAAGCTCTATCTGCTTAAACAGTTTATCCAAATTATGAAGTATTTCACCTATTTTTATATATAATTGTTTTGTCTTCTATGAATGATATAATCTCTTACAAATTTTCAAGTTAAATTTATTTTTTTACTTCCACCCCAAAAGTTGACAATTCTTTGTATCTAGTTTTAACGACTTTCTGCAAAAAGTATCCCAGAGGTACTTAGGAGATAAGGGGGAAAGCCACAGTTGCTAAAAGGAATCTTTGTTCGGCTACCAGAAGATTACAGGCACTGTTTGGAGAGCTCTGGAGAAATTCTGGAATTCAAATACAGTAAAACAGAGGGGGGAGGGGGGAGAAAGAGTTCTCATCTATTAACCAAGCAAGGGTACTAATACTGTCCTACCTCAGACAGATGAATGACTCTAAAGTGCTTCGAAAGTGCAGGGTGGCAGCTAACCTATTAAGTGGTATTACTTTCATACCTTCTGGAAATACAGAGTGTGCCATGATATTTTAAATGCTTCTTTGATATCCTTAGTTACTTGTCCTCTAACCATGTACTTTTTTAAAAATCAGTTTCTCTGGGATATCACAAATTAAGAGACTGTATTATAAAACAAGACTTGATGTTCTTAACCGTGTCTCGAGAACAGATATGAAGCATGCACACTGCACACACAGTAGACAAAAACACGGCAATGTTGGTAGGTTTAATTTGTAGGAGGTGGCACCTTGCCACTGTACCAAAGATGGTGTGATACAATACTGTCTAATTAGCAAATGAAACACTGCAAACAGGTCGACCTGAATTTCTCTCTGCAAAAAAACTGTTTCCATTTACTGGTGTAGTAGAGACTGCCTTTCCTACCAATAACCTGTAATGACCCTGTGTCCTCTGTCCTGTCCTCACCTTCTCCCCTTTACTGCTGCTTCTGCTATAGCAGCTGTTACAGTGAGAACTCCCCACCTACAACCACCAGAAACTGCACAATGCCTCCTTCTTTCACCTCCTTCTCAGTAGTGAACGGACAGTGTTATTTCAAAAACTTAAAGACAGGAGCAATATTGCAAGGTGGTGTAAGATCTCATGAAAGCCAGAAGCTCCCTATGGGGTAATTAATTTGCAAGCAATACAAAGAAAACTACGCATGAATATGTGTGATACACATTTCAAACCAGCAACTACCTGGTCATTTCCACTGGCTGAGGTCTAAGGCAGAGAGAAATGGTGTTGCTGAGTTATCAGGGAATTTTTTAAAAATCCCTTCATACGTATTTATTAAGCCATAATGTTAGTGACTTAAGAGTGAAGGAATAAGCAAGGCTGATATTAATTCATCCTGCATAGAACAAGTAGTAACAGCAATAATAAGTTGCCAAGAGATCAGCCCAGGTGTCCATCATAAGGCAACAGAGAAATGATAATATATTCATCAGGTGGAATACTGCTTAGCAGTACAAAGAAAACAGTGATCTCTATACAATATAGATGAATCTCAAAAACATTATGAAAAATAAAAGTTGACTCATACAAAAAAGTACATATTATAATTTCATTTATAAGAAGTTTGAGAACAAGCAAAACCAATCTATAGTGGAAGAATGATCAGAACAGTTGTTAACTCTGTGGAATTAGGAGAAAGACCCACCTAGGGAGGAGTGTGACAGAATTTTCTGGGGTGACAGTAGGGGGTAAGGGTCTCTCTTGATGGGAGTTTTGGTTACACAGGGACATGCATTTGTTAAAATTAATAAAATGTGCACTCGAGATGCGCGCATTTCATTGTATATGAATGTTATCTTCAAAGAAAAACTAAACTAATACTGACTTCTAATTAATGACATGCATATTGAAGCATTTAGAAGGAAGTGTACTGTCTGCCAAATACTCTGATCAAAAATGCATCAAAATATAAGGCTGATGGATGAATGGAGATGGGTAGGTATTGATAAAAGAAGCACAGTAAAATATTAGTGGTAGAATGTAGGTGGGTAGGAATATAGACAATTACTGCAAAATTCTTTCAAATTCTTTAAAACTTTTCATACCTAAGTGTTAGGAAAAAATCACACAAAAATTTGTACATCCACATTCATAGCAGCATTACTCACAATGGCCAAAATATGAAAGCCACTGAAGTGTCCGTGATGATTTTGGATAAACAAAATGCAACATATACACACAATGGAATGTTATGCACTTTGAAAAAGGAAGGACATTCTGACACAGGCTACAACACGGATAAACCTTGAGGACAGTCCGCTACGTGAAATAAGCCAGTCACAGAAGGACAAGGGTAGGATTCCATCGACACGAGCAATCACGGAGATAGAAAGTAGTGGGGTGGTTGCCAGCGGGTGGGAGGAGGAAATGGGGAGTCGTTTTTGTGAGAACAGAGCTTCACTTGGGGAAAATGAAAAGGCTCTGAAGATAAATGTCAGTGACAGTTGCATAACAATGTGAGTGAACTTAGCGCCA